TTGCTGCAAAAGGGGCCCAAACCAAGTACTGAGTACATATGCATGCTTATACTTTTCAGAGGTCCGATATTGTTCTATGTACAATCCTTGTTTTATTGATTGCATGTAATATTCTAATTTTCTGAGATTGTGGATTTGGGGTTTTCATGAGCTGTAAGCCATAATCATCACAGTTATGACACATCACGGCTTGAACTATTTTGCTTTGCATGTAATGAGTCTATCTCATATATTAGGTTCACCTTTTAAGTTGCATTACTGAAATAAATGAACTTTTGCACGATATTCTAATTTTTCGAGTTTCACCTGTATATAAGTATCATTATTTTTAACCTATTGTATTTTGTATAAATGACTCCCATATTTCATTATATTTGTCCATACAAAGTCTATGTCCATAGGAAATCCGCTCATAGGCAACAAGTACAATCAGGTCTCCAATCCATTGAGTGAAAGGAGCCGTATATTAATCTTTTCAGTGCTGCTATATTAGTCTGAATAGAATAGAATAGAATAGAATAGAATAGAATAGAATAGAATAGAATAGAATAGAATAGAATAGAATAGAATAGAGGAGAGAAGAGAAGAGAAGAGAAGAGAAGAGAAGAGAAGAGAAGAGAAGAGAAGAGAAGAGAAGAGAAGAGAAGAGAAGAGAAGAGAAGAGAAGAGAAGAGAAGAGAAGAGATAACAGAGTTGGAAGAGACCTTGGAGGTCTTCTAGTCCAACCCCCTGCTCAGGCAGAAACTGTATACCATTTCAGAGAAATGGTTGTCCAATCTCTTCTTAAAAACTTCCAGTGTTGGAGCATTCACAACTTCTGGAGGCAGGTTGTTCCACTGGTTAATTGTTCTAAATGTCAGAAATCATGGGAAGAGCACGGGATTGTGGTAAGAGCACAGGAAACCCATTTATGTTGTCCAGTTGTCAAATTCCAAGCAAGGTCAAAATAATGTTATCATCTGAAAAGTTCCAGCTTTACCTCTTCTATCTACAAATCAGTAGCAGAATAGAGATGAAAACTGGGGCCTGGTGACACAACCTGCAAATTTAGGGAGAAGGCACCAAGTCTAACTTACTTATTGTATTTTCCATGTTGCTTTCCAGTTTAATAGATTAATAACAAATCCAAGGTCACCAAACAAGGCTATTCTTACTTCACTTTTAATATTCTTACTTCACTTTTAAGACAATTTCTAAACCTAATATAATGAGTTACCCTCAGACAGCTAAACTAATGTAAGCAAACCAATTGTTTTCATATGCTGTCTTGAATGTGGTCTACAATAGAAACATTGCTGCCTTCCTAAGGAATAAAGCTGGAGAAATGGAAATAGGGCGCACTGTTTAGCCAAACACAAACACTTTTAATGCTCAACAGGACCCGTCGATGAGATGTGCTATGAGGTTCTAGTATGCACCCTAGTAATACTGTCATTTATGCAATATAAGATATAATGGATTCAAAGTGCTTAATCATGATTAAATTATGTATGTTTATAAAATAGTGATGGCATTTACAGGACATGACAGCACACTTGAAAGGTATTAAATTAAATTGCCAAGCTCACAGTCAATTTAACACATCTTGAACCTTTATGATAGCTTGTCTTCACCAGTGCTCAGACAAGAGAAGCATGAGGTGTTTCTTCTTCCCTCAAACTTGATGTCCTCCTATTCTATTAGAATAAAAAAACAGTGATTATTTTTTACAGAGGGAAAACAAGCCATAGTTGAAGAGATGAAAGATCTTTTCAAGGATCAGCAACTATCGGAAAGCCTATAAACGTGCAGGCATGACTCATTTTTAAGAAAACTGAGAGGTAAAGGACAAGATCCTCGTTGGAAGGTCCTGCATTTCACATATTCATTGATACCCAGAAGGAATACGAAGAGCTAGCTAAGTAGCAGAGGAGGCAAAATTATTCAAGATAATGTCTACAGAAGAGTAGCACACTGAGCTTTAATGTAATGGTAGTTTAAAATAACTGTGGTAGAATTTAGTAACTTCTATTCATGGAGTTCTAACTGAGCTGCTGTCTTGCATGTACTAACTCTGGCTAGCTGTTGAATTTCTCCACTATGACCAACTTGTTGGATATGCTGTATTTTGATGTAACTCAGCTAGCCAAAGGGCAAACAGAATTCAAGGAAGCATTAGGAAAAAGAGAATAATTGGCATATCTATGTGTATAAGATCTTATATATCTGCTTAATAGTATTCCAAGTATGTATACGGACATTAAAAATAAAGAAAAATGTAGTTGAATATTCTCTTAGAAAAATAATCAAAATATAAAATCTACTCAATGGCTGATTTTGAAGAAGAGTTGAAGTAAAGGATTTGTTTTTTAAAACACCTGTGACTAGGAAGGCAATACAAAGATCCAAATAGGCAAAAAAATTTACTTTCCAAAGCTACTGTATTTTTCCTGCAATTTGAGACAACTGTCACCTGCAATTCACTGATGAAAAGCAACTTGATGTCGATCTGTCTCCTCCTAATAGTTTACTATTATTTCATTTCCAAAGTTGGCAAAGTTTTGCTGAGCAAGAAATAATCACATCACATGCTTTGTTCATTCTTCTAATGTAAAAACATAATCATGCAGACTAGAGCAATTCACAAGGCTCTGGAGATCAAGCAAAGTAGAAAGGCTATCAGATCTTTTTAAAGAAAATTGTTGTGGGAACAAATGACTACAGCAAGTTCAGAGATGAAAGATATTTAAATCACTTGGAAACATGCAAAACAGAAAATACATAGACAAACCATTGTAATCAGGAAAAAATGAGCACAGATATGGAAATACATATGAGGATGGCATTCTGAGACCCTACCAATTTTTATGCTTTGATTTTTGTTGTTGTTGTTGTTGACTAAGATTGATCTCTTGGCCAGTATGACATCAGTTTTAACAACAACAAACAACAACAAGAACAGGGATACAATTAATTAACTTTTTTTCTGTTGTGTCCTGGGCCTGTTGAGGAAACTCAGCAGGCCCAGAAAGGTTGCAAATGGTCCCGGGCATTGTAAAAGCTGCCCGGGACCAGACAGAGCGGCGCCAACCTTGTGCACATGCGCAAGGCGCGAAAAGTGCCGTGTTCCTATTGGTTAGCACTATCTGGGTTCCTCATCCTATAAAAGGCCTGCGAGCCTTTTGCTCTTTGCTTGGAGTTGGAGAAGGAGAATAAAGAGCTATTGTTTTCCACAATGCATCTTCGTCAATTGCTTGCGAACCGAAAACACAACATTTTCTATTTCAGATCAATAGTGGTATATTTTTATGAAGAATTAGCTTGCCCCTGGTATGTTTTCAATGATTAATGTACATGTTTAAGCAACGGTCTTCATAAATGTTCTAGAATTAGGTGAACATTGAGATGACCAAGTCTGCTGACGTCGGATGAGGTCAGAACTAGAAACTTGAAAAGAATTTCTCCAAATTAGAAAAATAGTCATTAAAATGGCTACTTCAGTTCAATATAAGCGTTGGCCAATAGCCACTTTTATATCTACATAGCAAATTTTGGTTTAACCTGATATTTTTAATTATATTGTATCAGTGTTTATAAGTTCTAAAAGACATGTTCTTAACTTATCAAGTGATATCTTACTTGCATAAATTCATTTCATGCAATATTTATCAAAAAGCAGAAGCACCACAAAAATAGAGCTAATTTTTTTTATGCTGTTGAAGCAGTCATTTTTTCTTAAAAAATTAACTGAATACAAAAAACAATCAAACAAAAAGAAAACACAAACTTATAAAAAGAAAAAAGCTACACAAATCAACATACAAGACATATATTTACAAACATACATATATCAATTTATTGACGCCATGATTTATTACAGTCATCCATAGCTGATCTATATTTATTCATCTATTTATGAAATTTATGTGCCACCCATTATTTTCCAACTACTCTGGGCAGCTTACAGCATGACCGTAAATTGACATTAATCAATTCGGTGAAATAGTATGCTGTATTTCCAATGCTGAATAGTGAAGTGCCTTTAACTGCCTTTAACTGCCTGGACTGATCCCTGCAGTTCTCTAGGCAACATTTTCAAAAGTAGCTTGTGGTTTCCTTTTTCCTATGACTGAGACAGAGTGATTGGCCTAAAGTCACCCAGCTGATTTCATGTTTAAGACAGTACTAGAAGTCATGGTCTTCCTAGTTTTTAGCCTGGCCTCTTAACAGATACATCTTCTCAATCATTTTTTAATTTAGTAGAACATTTTATGTTCTACTAAAAATCATAGTACCTTATATGATTTAATCACACTCTTCTAATCACTATTTAAAAATATTTTTATCCTGCTTTTAATATTTTTATAAATAACTCAAAGCAGAGAATATACCTTGAATAGAATAGAGCTGGAACGGACCTTGGAGGTATCTAGTCCAGCCCCCTGCTCAAGCAGGAGAACCTGTACCCTTTCAGATATAGCCTCTTCTTAAAACCTTCAGTGATGGAGCACCCACGACTTCTGAAGGCAAGCTGTTCCACTGGTTCCACCTAATATTCCTCCTCCTATTTTCCCCACAACAATAACCCTGTGAGTTGAGTTGGGATGAGAGACTGACTGGCCCAAGGTCACCCAGCTAGCTTTCATGCCTAAGGCAGGACTAGAACTCAGAGTATTCTGGTTTCTATCCTAGTGTCTTAACTGGTAGATCAATCAATGCACAATCTAAAATATGCAACTAAGAAAATGGGATACCAAACCTGTGGTGCCTAGTATCATGGATGGCACGATCACTGGGCATCCGTTCACTCTCCCGTTGGTTAAAGGCATACAGTCGATATGGATCCTCTCCGCCTTTCCATCTCCGAACACTCAGATATTTTCTTTCTTCAAATTGATCCCAAAGATCATCCCAATCAATGTCGGAATCCTGTTCATGCATAAACATAGATTCCATAAGAAAAATAAAAAGTTGGAACTGAATGGTCATGCTTTTCTTGTTTTTAATTTAAGTTAGCTTCCTTGGACAGTTTTGAGCAAAGATAGGGTGTCCCTTTTTTTTTAAAAAAAAAAAACTAAATATTATATAATATAAATAGAACAGTTAACAACCACGTTCTTGTTCATACAGAACATCATCATTTCAAAAATAAGGTTGTGCATTTGAAAATACCTATTTTTTTCCTTAAAATTAAAGAAAGTACACAGAGATTCATCTTGCATTGTGAGAACCAGTTACTGTTTTGTATTCTGGCATATGCTTGTGGCTGCAAAGCAGAATGCATTATACTGATGTTTGAGGTCAACATAACTCGGATTTAATCAGCTGAAGATCGAATGCAGGTAAATCTGTTGAATCAATTCAGGGGACATTTTGTACATAGCCACAAGCAGAGTTAGGAAAGAAATCTGTTTTTGTCACATTTTATATGATACAGCCTAATTTCTACTTCCTAACCTAACTGCAGACCAGAATGTAATTGCCTTTCAGTTTTGGCATCTCCATATTTTGTGAAGATTAGGAAACATGTCACACTAAACTATATGCATTTTTGTATGTATTCTCATAATATCTTTTTTCTTTTCCTGTATTACATCCAGACTATACAACACATATACTAGAAGAAATGTAATGTGTATGAAGTAAAAGTATAATGTGTATAAAATAATTCACAAATCCGAGATATCCAGTGGGGTGGGGGGCAAACTGTGAAAACAGCATAGTGCTATTATGGTACAAGTTCCTTTCCTATCAGACATGTATCATAATGTTGTACACATGTATGAAAGGAGAGACGTTTGGACCACAAAGATGTCATTCTGCATTTAATGAAAGTGATGAATCCATGGATATTTCTGTCATAAATTGATAGCAAAAGGGACTGATAATACTTTCATTTGATATCTGAAATCTGTAGAAACCAATCTAAAACATTTCAAATAGTATCTTTTTTTTAAATAGAAGGCTTCTCAGCAAACACAGTGCTACATATAAAAAAGACAGATGCAATTAGCAGCAGATGCTTTCAATCCAAAAAGTCAAAGCCATGATCTATTTATACAAGCCCAGAAACCGCAGTAAAAAGAAACAGAATGTTTGCACACCATAAAGTATAAGAGACAAATCAGTTCCAGGTGATAAAAGTTCAGTTTCATGTTGGCTACCAGCCAACTTGCAGAGAGAAGAACATTTTTTATTTATTAATTAATTTATCTATAAAATTTATTGGCCACTCATCTTACCATAGGGTAACTCTGGGTGGCTTACAGTTACATATAAGCTAAAACATAAACAGTTAAAAACAAACATTAAAACTAAAGACTGACACAGCCATATCTTTAGGCCCTTATGAAAAGATAGGAGGTTGGGGCCTCATATCTGGGGGCAAGATGTTCCAGAGGGCAGGAGCAACAGCAGAGAAGGCCTGGACCCCACCAGCCAGAATAATCAGGCTGACAAGACCCACAGCAGGACCCACAGCATGCCTCCTCTGCCGGCACGAGTGGTACAGGCCAATCCCAGTGGGGTGAGATGGTCCCTCAAGTAACCTGGACCCATGCCATGAAGGGCTTTAAAGGTGATCCCCAATACCTTGAATTGCACCCGGAAGCAGACTGGCAGCTAATGCAGCTCGTGGAGCAGTGGTGTTTATATTTAATTATTTTTCAGATGAATTTTTATTACATTCTACCAAATCCATGCTGATTATCAATCTGTGATCCACTTAACAGCCTCTTCTTTAAAAACCTCACTGAAATAATTAGAACTCATAGAAACCATCCACTGAGTCACCAAGAGTTGAAGTGACTGAGTCCTTACACAATGACTCCCAGAAAACCAACAATATTAAAGGAACACAGAAGCAGATATGATCTTAAGAACTTCAGGATCAATCCCCACTTAATCATGAAGTTCTCCCTAGGTTATTTTCTGCTGTTATTTTCCAAATAACTGACCCCACAGAATTGTTGTAAAAATAAGAGTTTCCAAGAAAAATCATATATGCAGTTTTTTCAAGGGAGGACAATATAGATATGCAATAAATGAATATTTCTGCTGTTTACTTCTTTAATCCCCTAATCATTAGTTTTATTTTTTAAGATGCTTGGCATATAATAGACAATACATAAATATGATAAATGATCTGGAAAATCATTTCTTAATATGGATCACAGTCTACGATGATTATTCTGCTGGTTGTTTCATCTGGAAAGAATATATTTAATTTATAATATCTCCAAATGATTTCTACAAGATAATGTAGATGTAATCTGGGAGACACATGATTGGAGTCAAAACTTGCTCTATGTCACATATTATCAAAGAATCATATGGCTTTGAAGTCTTCTAGTCTGACCCCCTACTCAAGGCAGGAGTAGTTACACCATCCTGTACAAATGGTTGACCATTTATTTCCAGGTTAGATCTCCCTCTGATGGGCTTTCACCCATTGCTTCTTGTCATGCCCTTAGGTGCTATGGGTAATAGATTGATCCCTTTTCCTTTTGATTTTCCCTCAAGTACTGGAAGATTGCTATCAAGTCTCCCTTAAGCCTTCTCTTCATTAGACTAAACTTACCTAGTTCCTTTAGCCATTCATCCTAATATTTAGCCTCTACACCCCTTATTACCTTTGTTGCTCTTCTCTGAACTCTTTCTAGAGCCTCATCATCTTTTTTTATTGTGGTGAACTGGATGCAGTATTCCAATTATGGCCTCATTAATTCTGTATAGAGCAATACTATCATTTCCCATTATCTTAATTCAATTCCTTTGTTGATGCAGCCTAGGACTAAGTTAGCCTTTTTGGCAGCTGCTGACACTGCTGACTTATATTAAGTGGTAGGCCACCAGGACATCTGTATCCTTTTCACGGTCAGTACTGTTGAGCCAGGTACTGCCTTTTCTTTACCTGTGCATTTGGTTTTGATAGGCCTGTGAACTCCATCTGGTTGGATAGGGCTATATTAGATTATATTAGATCCCTCAAGTCTGTCATGATCCTTCTGAATCTTGAATCAACTTCTAAAGCAGGGGTGTCAAACTGCTGGCCTGTGGGCTGGATGTGTCACAGCAAAACCGCGCCCACCCCATTGCCAGCAATGGGGGAAAAGTCACGATACGTCGCAACACATCACATGATGTCGCAAGTTTGACACCTGTGTTCTAAAGTGTAATCAATTCCCTTCCCCGCCCCCAGCTTGGTGTCATCTGCAAATTTGATGAGCATTCCTTCAATCCCCTCATCTAGGTCATTTATGAAAATTTTGAAGAGTATTGGGCCTAAGGCAGAACCTTGCTCAAGTTCAGCTGAGTGTGCATGTGCAAGTGCAATGGCTCGCCGCTCGTGTAAGTTGAGCTGGGTGCGCATGTGCACGCTGGCTTGCTGCTCATGCAGCTCCGTTCTGAATAGGCCCTAGCCCAGTAGTGGGCTGCAGCTCAGGGGTTGGGGACTCCTGCTCTAGGATTTCCATCCATGGAATCCTTCCTACTCTCTCTCTCTTAGTTTGTTGAAGTCAATTCTCTTAAAGTCTAAAACATTAAACTGACTTTGTTCAGTTACCTATACCTGTATGGTGAATTCTAGTATGACATGGTCACTCTCATCCGAAGTTCCCATGATTTTCACTCCCTCAACCATGACATCCCTATTAGTTAGAATTAGGTCCAGTATAGTTGACCCTCTAGTTCCTACCTCTATCTTTTGGAAGATAAAATTATCAGCTAGCTTATCAGGAACCTGTTCAATCTCCCATTCACTGCAGACTTTGTTCCCCAGTTGATTTCAGGGTACTTAAAGTTCCCCATTACTACAGCGATGTGTTTCTTTCACACTTCAGGTAACTAATTTGCAAAAGGTTCATCTATTTCTAGTATTCGGTTGGATGGTCTATAGTACACATCTATAGCAATATCATTGCTTTTGCCCCTAATATTCACCCAAATTCTTTCAAGAATGCTCATCCTTGCTATCCTCTATTTCGGTACAGCTATAGTAATTTTTTACATATAGTGCAACTCCTCTTCCTCTTATGCTGAGTCTGTTTCTTTTAAACAAATTATATCCTTCTAATAGTATATTCCAATCATGGATTCCATCCCAGCAAGTTTCAGTAATAGCAACAATATAATACCTGCCCTCAAGTACTAGGACTTCAAGTTTGTTCTCCATATTTTGAGCATTAGTGTACAGGCACCCCATGAACTCCATGGTCAAGTAGGGACTTGAAACAGAGACTCCCCAATCCATGTCTGGTATTTAAACTTCTGTGTTACCCTAGCTCTGTGTACGCATTACTGTTTTCAAGGAGAAGCAGAGCCACAGTTGCACTGATAGCCTCAAGTCAGCTTTACTTTCTCCTGTATGAGTAACAGTGAGTGGCTACCAATTGTTCCTCCTAAAAGGAAAAGCAAATTACTGCATTTGGGTCCTAGACTGAGAAAGGAACAAAATACTCTTATTTTATAAGGAAAGCCAGCCTATTCCACGTATATTCACATATATTCATTACATCCTAGTAATTCACATCTCACTAATAAAACTAAAAAAAAAATACTCATCAGATCTAGAACAGCAATATTTCTTGTTTATATATAGCTACCGTAATAGTAGGCATGCCTGGGAGTTTTCATCTAGGATATGGCTTGATTACTTCATATTTGTCCAGCTTTTATATCTTAACTTTATTACCAGCAATTTTGCAAAAGGCAGAAAAGCAATGACTTGTTTTCATATCCCAAGGCAAGTTTGTAATAGAAGGGATCATTTTTTTGACTCACAGATTGAGCACATTTGACAGGGAGAATAAATATGAACTGTCACTATGTCATCTTTTTCAGGTCTTCATTCTTATATCTTCCTAATTACCCTACTATAGTTGCAGACGAAAATAATCTTCAAACTAGAAATCAGGAGTTGAAATTAACTTGGACCAATGGTTCTAAATTGATCCACTGTCTGGATTCATCCCATCCCATTAATAATGTTATTAAAGTCATTTACTTTTTAGGCCACTCCACTCTATTGGGATATTTATTGCAGGAGAGGACCAGGCTGGGCTCAAGGGAGGGGAGGGGTCCAACGCTTCATAAATCACGAGTCCCTGCCCTGCCTGCAAGAGATCTAAGTCCAGCCCACCTTGAATGTCTCTCTTATCTCCCACTCATTTCTCTTAATGTCCAGTCAGTCAGATCTTTGTAGAGAATTTAAGCTTGCAATAAATCTTTTTACTCATTTGAACTGCCTGAATCACCTGATTTCCCCAGTGCTTGACATTAATCTGACCAATTAAGGGAAATGAATGGGAGATAAGAGAGGCATTCCAGTTGGGCTGGACTCTTTTGTGAGTATGCAGGGACTCCTGACTTATGACGTGTTTGACCTCCCTCCCTCGGGCTCAGCCTGGTTATCTCCTACACTTATAAGCAGAAAGATTACATGCAATTTATCTGCTAGCCTTTGGTAATATTCTGTAATTGACAGAGTTAATTCTTGTTTTAACACACAATTTAAAATCACAATTTATCAGTGAAGTAGAAAAAACAAGATGAGCTGCATCAAGTAAACCCTGAAAATGTTTAAGGTTCACAGAATTTATGAAACCTGTAGACAGATCTCAGACACAATATTTTTTTCAAGCAATTGTCAGAACAAAACTAAAACATTTATTTTAAAGTGGGCACGATCCTGCCAAAGGTAAACACATTATACTTCAATTTATTTTAATAACAAAGTTAAATGTGGCTTAATTCCCATTAATCAATTCAGTTTCCAAATGCTTAACTTGGAATAAATTGTAACTAATGTTTTACCATACATTTCAATTGTCTTGTTAATGTTGCTATTTGCAGTGTATTACTGCAAATGCTGGTATGTTGACCAGCATTTGCTACAAAAATTGAATATAAACTTTACAAGGAAAAATAAATAAAAACACATCTATTTAGAAGAGCAAATACTTCTAGCTGGTATGCCAAAGGAAAGATCAAAATTCATACAAAGATTTAAACTAACACACCAATCATATACAGTCTTGATGAATTACTCAACCTTTCTGAAGGGCAAAATATAAGAAAAAATATAAGTAAGAAAAAACACAAATCACTTATTTAATGTATTTATTAAGTTTATATCTTGCCTTTATCCAGTTCACAGACACACCACATTCCCTTTTCCAGTTTTTTCTTACAACCACAACTCTATGTGATAAGTTCTTCCAAGCCACTCTTGAACTTTGGTTTTTATGTTCCTAGTCCAATGCCTTAACTACTAAACCACATAGGATATTCCTAAATGTACATTTCAACTTACTGCCTTTCTCAAGTAACTTACAGGTTAATCTCCACATAATAATTTGATGGAATAGAAGAACTAACTCAATATAGGAGTTTGTATTCAATGACTTTCGGATAACCCAGCAAATTGCTATGATTGGCTTGAACTCATAATTGTCATTCAAACCAGCAGACAGCTTAACTGGTCCCTGACTACTGATATTGGGAAAGGTGAGTAATCCTTTCTCTCCAGGATAGCAGATCAGTTATGGATTACTGGATAAGATCTTCATTATAACATTTCCACCATGTATTATGTCTTCTTTCTCTCACGTTGAATTCTGCCTGGGGACTTATTTAACTGCTGTGCAGAAATCCAAATGTAATTTAAGATAATCTATCTCATGTTAAATTCCATATTAGCATGCACCAGAGAAGGATCAAGCCAATATTCTATTTCCCTTTTTATTGTCTTCTACACAGTTCTTCTCTCAATGTATTAATTTTCTCTCATGTATTTTCAATACTTTCTTTTTCACCGAAACCAGTCCATTTTTTCAATGCTTGCAGTTTAATAAGTAGTATTAATTATGCAAAGCAGTGAATTAATAAGGAATTTTGGGAATCAGGAACAGCCTCAATAAGGGAGAAGGGAAATCTTTACCATTCCAAAGGAACAATCAGTTTCACCAGCTGTCAGAATTAAAATAAAAATACATTTTGCAATAACTCATTTATCTACAAAGTCAAATTAAACAACCAGTCAAAGAGATTTTGCCACTCAAAATTAATCATTTTGGACAGTAATATTACATTTCTGTTCAAAACATAAAACTACGCTTTGTATTAAAGAATATGATGTGTTCATACAGCCAAGTACAATAGCTCTCATTGTCTTCAAATGGGAGAATTCACAATATCAATAGACCACAACAATAGACTACAATATATTTGAAGCAAAGATCTTAATATGACTATGAGAGTTCTAGTTTATCCCAAGCTCAAACCTACATAAAGAAAAAAACAATTTCTACTTTCCCAGGACTGAGTGTTATTCTTCTCTAAATAGTTCGTCCATTTCTTCTTCTAGGTTATCTTTTTTATTAACTTAAAAGGTTATGCCTTTTAAAACTTATATCTCAGAAACGTTTAAGGATGTTCATGTGCTTGTACAGTTGTACACATAACTCAGTTGTACACTAGCAACTCAGAAATGAAATATAAGCAGTTTAACATTTTATAAGCTAGATACTGGACAATTGTGGAGATTCAACAGTATTGCAAAACATTTTTAGCCAGAACAATAAAGTTGAAGATATGTAAAGTAATGTATATATAAATCACATTTATATCTTCCCCAAAATATAAATTGACTCTCAAAGGTGCACAAAATGGAACAAACAATACATGGTAATAAAAATCAGAAAAAGTTTCAATTATAAAGGGATGGATGGAGAAATGGACTGGTAGACTTGGAAGAATCTGTTAATATAACCTTAAAATAAAGAAGAAATAGCTCATCTGGCCATGCTCCCAGTCTGGTCTATCTCACAAGGCTGACAACTATCTTGCTAGTCTGAAAATACATTTCTCCCCTTATCCCCTTTTAAGCCCAAGGAACCAGGGAGGGTCCCTTGCCCTACTTACATTCCTACTGCAGGTTGAGTTGCCTTATATGACCATTTCTTTGACTGTATCTTTTCTTCCTGTCTCCCAAAGTCATTCCCATATACCATTACAGGTCTTGACATACAGGTCAGTGACTGGAATGATCAGTGTTATCTAAAACCTGATTGATAAGGGTCTAGACTAGTATTTCTCAACCTTGGCAACTTGAAGAGGTATGGACTTCAACTCCCAGAATTCCCCAGCCAGTACAGCTGGCTGGGGAATTCTGGGAGTTGAAGTCCATACCTCTTCAAGTTGCCAAGGTTGAGAAACACTGGTCTAGATAATCTGCTTCCTTTAAGACACTTTGTAGTTGGAGCTGAACTAGTATCTCAACAATTTTTGTCAAAAAGGAAAGGTTGAAGACAGGGTAGTAGTTGCCAACACATGTATATCCAAAGAGGGCTTCCCCATGAGGGATGAACCATCATTCAGGGAGATTCAGGGAGGAACCTACAGATTCAGGGAGGAACCTACACCCACCCATACAAAAAACCCCAGGAGTACACCTAAAAACCCCTAGAGTACACTTTATATATTTCTTCAGAGGTAGCAGGTACAAAACAGATCTAGATGACAAAGTAAGATCACCACCCAGCACCCTGCCCAATCACTACCCAACACCCTGCACAAGTGGGGAGAAAATCTGAGCAACTTTACTGGCAAAATGGTGAGCAACTTGGTCACAGCAGCCAGAGG